CGCTTTCCTTCTCTCCCGTCGACGCTCCACCTCTTAGAGCTGTTGCACACAAGTATGGTAGGGTAATGTTAAAAAATGAAGTTTAGGTGTTAGATGTGTAAATACTTAGGTATTGATTGGAATGTAGGTAAATTGGCTAATCCATAATTTTTTCATTGTGGTAACAGTTTATTCTTAGATACATTGTACTCAGTTGGCGTTGATATCACAAGACACGCGATAGAGAATAATTTCGCCTGATGGTTTGCAACACATTTAAATTAGTGTTTAGCAAAATTATTGAACATCTAAGATAATTGTTATTAGGGATCTTTAATCACAAATGAGTTATTTATGAATTACTAAATTCATGGTCAAAACAATGGAGAACGGATCAGGGCTTGCTAAATCTTGCTTGGGGACCCATGCACATCGTCAAATTTTGGTAAACTAATTATGTGAATGACTGCAAGTTTCATACGAGGTCTTGATCAGAAGAAAAAAAAGACTTATAATTCCGACGTTCGTGTTAAAACAAATAATAAATTAGACGATGAGATAGATTACTTTGGGCTTATCGAAGAAGTGATTGAACTATCTTATCCTAGCTCTATTGGTAGGAGTGTATTCCTATTCAATTGTGACTGGTTCGATCTTGCTTCTAATCATGGAACAAGGGTTATCCAATCATATAATGCTGTAGAATTAAAAGTGAACAAGAGATATGATAAATTTGATCTTCTCATTTTAGCAAGACAAGCAAGTTAAGTATTTTGTCTTTCATATCCCAATAGAATAAGAAACAAAGTTGAGTGAGTAGTAGTCATAGTCGTTAAACCTACAACAACTATTGATATTAAAAATTCAATTGAACACGCTCATCAGGAAATAAAAATGACAGATTCATCGATGAAGAGGTAAATTTAGTGGAAGTTAATGAGGAACACAAATAAATTGATATCGATGAGTATGATTCTGGCGATGGTTTAGATGAAATAACTTTAACAACATCCTCAAGTGACTCGACAGTGGAGATTAACTAAGATGTGTAAGTTTTATTTTGTTGTTACTTTGTACCTCTGTGTTTTTAGTTTTATTAATTTGTAGATTGTACTTTACAGTTTTCCCTTCTGTTAACTCCGTACTCTTATGTTTTTGATTTTAATGATCTGTAGATTGCATGCAATTTAGTGATGCTATTTCTTTTTACTACATTTTATATTACTTTTAGCTTTAGTAGATATGTAGATGCACTAATTAAATTTACTTTCTTGCTTGTAGATGACTTATGGAGGGAGGGACAGTCTCCTGCCAGTTGGGGCACAAGCCACATTACGAAATTTAGTCAGCAGATGAGGTCCTAGATGCCAATCACCACACCAGCACCTCCGTTAGTCGTGACCATGACATCACTACCACTAGCAACCATGACACACCACTGCCACTAGTTGTGACCATTACACCATCATAGCAACCAGCCGTGACCGGGACACCACCAACATTGTCAACATGAGCTACTATTGATGTGCAGTCTAGTTCGAGCAACATGAGCAACAGTCATTGGCTTCGGGCAGTGGGGAGCATGTAAGTTTTTATTATTATATGTTTGCTTTGTTATATATATATATATATATTAATGCCTTAAATTTTTTAATTTAGTAGAGAACCAATCACATGTTATTTTCAGATTTAGTCCCCTAAAACATGCCATCCATTCCATCAGAGTCATAATTCGGAACAAGTACGACCACCGGTACTTATTATGGAGGGAGATCCTGATGACAGTTCTAGACATGTGGTTTGGATAATTCAAGGTAAACCCTGAACACAATAATTACATTTATGTATTTATTTTAAAGAATCTAAAAAATTCTAATTCAATTTACATAAATAATGGTCTTGCTCGCCCCTCACCCCATCAGAGGAGGAGCCGCGCATTCATAGAAAAACTTTGAGCACAAGACGAGCGATCTTCTACGCGACCAGCTCAGCGATATACACCGGACACGTGAGCGCCCCTTGTAGCTCAGTGAGGAGTGTTTTCAGCACTCCTTAGAGCCCGAGACTCTCCTAAGTGTCAGAATAAGAGGAAGCATGCAAAGCAGAATCGTCGCTCTCACTGCGGGGCATGGGGGCCTCAAAACACACTAGTGGAGTGCTCTCACATACGGAGTACAAGAAGTGGCCGATAAGACTTATTTTTTTTTGCATTAAATATTATTTTATATTAAATGTGTGCTAACTATTCAATTACACTGATATGCACTGGATAAAGGACAATAGCCAAGTGTTGCAGAGTTACACAAGCGCACCAATAATTGGAAGTCAGATTAGTGTTAGGTGGACAACATATCTCAGGCAACTCACAAAATTAATGAGTATAAAATTTAATTAACTATGGAAATTTACTTAGTCTCACTTTCATTAATCATATGTTTTATAAGCCTTCCAAAGGCTCAAGGAAAGTCGATCTTAGCAGTCGGGCTATAGTTCAGGCACATGTCACTATTCTTTTGAGTAAGACCTTTGAAGGGAGGTTGTTGGCAGGAAGAAGAAAGGTAGGGTTTACGGGTTGGGTTACCAAGCACCAGCCTACGATGACTGCCTGACCTCTAGTACATCTAATCCATCTACTTCCACTACACAGAAGGAGGAGATGCATCTTTAGGTTGCTGCCTTGGTAATCTCCATGAAATCAGAGATGACGACAGAGACCGAAGTGGTGCTACTTTCTGAACCGTAGAAAGGGAAGGAACTAGTTTACGATAAGGATGATGATGATGCTTATGAGGAGGCGATAGAGGAGGATGAGGATGATAAGTAAAGGATTATTTTTTGTTTGTTTGTATGTCAATCAATTTATTTTTAACTAACATTATTTTTATTGTACAGTTGTACATTTCGTTTGGTTCAATAAAGTTGTTTTTCTTTTATTTATGTATATGATTTACGTGTTAATTAGTTTTGTTACAATGTTGTGCCATGAATTTATTACACTATTATGATTGCAAGTGCGTAGAATACATTGTTGAAGAGGGCTTTAATTTTTTTTGATGATACATGTTTTTGACGACCTACCGACGGTTTTAAGACCCCTTGATTAAATGCTGATGGTTTTCCAATGGTCTATCAAACAAGCGACGTCTAGACAAAGTGCTGCACTTTTGCTATAGATAAAACCATCGGTAAATTCTCATGATTAACCTAATGGAAGTGCAATAAATTTTTCTACGGACATATGCGTCGGTTATATAACTGACGGTCAAGTTACGGTTAAACATGACATTTTTTTTGGACAAAATCACGATACTTTTTCGATAAAAGTGCAACACATATCCGACGGACAGATATGTTGGTTATATAACCAACAATCAATCTATTGTTTAAACATGCCATGTTTTTGGATTTCTACCGAAGATTATGGTAATCAGAAATCCATCAGTTAATGTAAACCATCACTAAATTTATCCGTAATTTTATCACCGACAAACATTTTTTGCTACGTCAATTTAACTATCGCTAAAACGTCAATAGTTATACTACCTATAGTTTTTACATTATTAACGACAATATTTGACCGTAAGTAATAAGCTAAATTTATGTATTGATGCTTTATTTGATTTCCTTTGTCATATGTGTTATTCTATGATAACTCCTCCAATATTTTTTTATCTATTGTATTCTCTTACTAAAAAAAGCACTAGATGTTCAATAAAATACAAGCTAATATTTTTGATACAATATATTTACAATGATCCAAGTTAAATTTAAAAGTACCAAAAAATCATATAGAACCAACATCAAAGATGATCCAATTATTATTATTTTTTTCATAAAATTAAATTTGCATCACTTTTTGTGAACAATTTTTACAAATCAGAAGTTTTTTTCTTTGCATCTTCTGAATAGGAGACACATGGTAGAGCTTGTCAATGTTCAAAATCACAAACAACTTTTGACAAAAATTAAATTTTCATGTTGTGGTATTATTTTCTTTTGTAGATCTACCCCATATTGAGCAAATAATTCACATACATGATAGTGAAGGTGATTATGAAGAGATTTATAGATCAGAGCTGGCTGGAGTTGCCGAATATATATATATATATATATATTGAAAAAGGAATGACCATAAAAGCTATTATACGAGCTTCCAGCCACTCCTAATGTGCCAAACAATTCAAGTCCCAACTCCAAAAGGTTAACTGTGCAACAAGGGATTCGAACTGCCAACATGATGGGTCTTATACCGTGGATGCCAACCAACATACCGGGATATACGACACTAATGCTTAATAGTATATAAATTAATATATTTAACCTCTTAAAGAAGTTTTAATTGCTAATAAAAAAATTAAAAATTAAATTATAGCTATGTAAATATGATAGTTACATATCATTCCATTAAATAAAAAAAATAAAGCATAATATATTTTCTTAATGGCCAGGCCATGCTAGGTCTAACCAGAAAGGTCTACATCAACATTGGCCAATAGACGCTTAGATAAGTCAATACTTTGCAATTGTTAGGAAGACAACTTGTATGGCGAATATTGGATATTCCTGCAAAATTATTTTGAGACATTTAAATATGTACCACATAACTCTTATATATTTACAAATCTAACCCACACAATATCATATTTACATAAATAGCACCCTTCAAATCATTGGCAACACATCAAAAGTAAAAATGCCACATATTTTTTATGAAATCTCAATATATTTTTTTTGCAATTTCTCCAATTAAATACATATATTTTATTGTATTTAATTAAATATTAATTCTTTTATTTAACAATAATTTTAGAGTCAAAATTCAATATTTTCTGCAAATTCTAATAAAATCTTATATTATAAATTAATTTAAAAAAATAAAAAATAATTACAATTAAACGATGAAATTAATAAAGTTAATTCAAACCGAAAATTCTCCGACCAACCGAAAGCTAGAACCCATCAGCCAATTGACCTCACACGCGTCAAAATCAGGTTGGCCTATTGTACGGACAAGTACGTAGAGAGAGAGGGAGGACCCCCGCGCGCGCGCATCCATGCGTGCCAAGCCTCGTACGAGGTGGGGCCCATGAGTCCCATCCCCGCCCCGCCATTGGCCTCCTCCTCCCTTCTCTTTCACACCTCCTCCTCAAACCAGTCCACAGGGAGGTTGAAACCAACAAAAAAAATAAATTAAAGGTGGGGAAGATGATGGCAGCGAGCGAATCAGAAGCTAGGGGTAGCTTCCCGGGTTTCCGTTTTCTACCAAAAGTTCTATTATTGGAGGGGCCATGGCGGACGAATAAGGAAAGCCCGGCCACTCCCCCGCTAAGAAAATCCAATCTTTTTTCACTTCCTCCGCCGTCCCGCTGCGCCGCCGGACTAGGGTTCGGCCGCCACGGTGCGCTCAACGGTCGGGCTGAGATCCTTAGCTTGCAGTTCTCTGACAGATCTGCGAGTTTCTGGATTCTATTGCGCAAATCGTCCATCTTTCGCCTGCTTCTGCAGCAAAGGATTCAGAGAGATTGAAATGGTGAGGGGGAAGACGGAATTGAGGCGTATAGAGAACCCGACGAGCAGGCAGGTGACTTTCTCGAAACGTAGGAACGGATTGTTGAAGAAGGCGTTCGAGCTTTCAGTGCTCTGTGACGCGGAGATCGGCCTCATCATTTTCTCCTCCAGCGGGAAGCTCTACGAGTTCTCCAGTTCCAGGTTTTCTGTGAATATCTAACACTTTGATCCATATATATAGCATTAAATTTGGGTTTTTGTTAAATTTTAGAGTTTTTAATTTCTTCACGCGCCATCCAGCAAGTTGCGTATTGAGTTTTCTTACCTATTTTCTTGTTTTGGAAAGAACGAGATGGGTAAAGCGTAGGTTCTTTTGTTTTCTTTCCAGTTTTTGGAATTTATGCTCATTTTGGGCTGCTTAGAGATTTTTTTGGGAAATATTCGTACGTTTAGTTTGCTGTTTATTGTCCCATTTTTCTTCATAAATTTGTCCTTTTTTTCTTCTTTTTCTGTTCATGTTCTACGATCGAGGAGAAACTTTCTTTGCAAATAAACTGTTTAGAACGAGAGGGTAATTATGCGCTGCTTCGGATGAGGAAGCAGCGCTGGAGACGCATAAACTAAATAAAGTTTTGAATTTTATTAAATGAAATTAATGAAAAATTAGACTTTGATCTAATTAGTTTATCAGTTCACACAGTTTCTGCTGCTGCAAGGAAGTATTGTGTGTATTTCATGTAGAAATAAATCTCTGGCGTTATGTTTGTCAATTAAAGTGTTAATTGGAGTTCGATTCTACCAAGCAGTATTAATCAAAAAGCTATTTTGAATGGCGGTTAGGTGATCTAATGGAGCATCCCTTAGTACTGTTGCTTGAGTGAGGGATTATATCTAAAAGGGGCCATTTTTTACTGTTTTGTTTACCTATTTTGTACGTTCATTCAAAATATATAATTAAGCTTTAGTTCTTTGACTTATTTTACTGTTTTGTGAATGTTTGATCCCAATTCATGAAATTAAGAGGGGTTAAGAGGCAAGTTGAGTCATCCAATAAGATAACTCACTGAAGCAGACTTGACTTAATGTTGATCACAAGTCATAAAATTTGACCAAGACCATAATTAGATTTCTTTGCGAGTGCTAGTAGACTTGATGTTTAATTTTAGTCAAAGGTATTCATGTTCTTTAAGGAAGATTTACATGCATATCATGCAATTCTTATGTATTTACTTAACTAACACCTAAACTTCAATTTTTAAGTATATGTTACCTTAGCTATACTTAAAAAGTGTATTTCACCTTTGAAAGTTAAAATAGTGATATTTTTGTTGTGATATGAAAATTTTGAAGGTATAAATGTAAAGAATCAAAGTTTATGTATTAGATATGTAAATACATAAGATTTGGGTGGTATATATGTATGTAAATGCCCCTTCTTTTAATTATGCACTTCACTAAAAAAGACAACAAGAAAACTATGATTCATATGTGTCCAACCAAGAGTCTTAGGTAGTACCACTCATGTACCACATAAGTAGTCAAAAGAAGATAGGATAATTAATTTAATAGTTGCGCTGCTCTTAATATGGTTGCCAGCTACGGAAGGTTCCACCATTAATGAGCTAGTGGATGCTTTTAAGGGATTATCATCATGCTTTCCCATGGTTAGTCTGTCTTCATTGTTATCAGGCATTCACGTACAGCTTGAGAAACAGTAATGCTCTCTTTGTAAGACTATATATATATCTATTCATGAATTGTAAACCTTATTTTCTCTTCATCATTGTTTCAGAATAAATGCCTGCTCACATGCTATGATCATTGTTTCAGAATAAATGCCTGCTCACATGCGATAATCCATCTTTGACTTGCTAACATGATCCTCACTAACTCTACTTGATGATGTGCAAGTATTGATTCAACTTGTTCATATTCATAGGGCTAGTACTCCACTCTTCTGGTTGTGGATCAAGGTGATGATTAGGTTTTAGGGACTCATGTTTAATATTTTAATTTTTTTTAATTTTTATTTTTTTTATGTTGAGCTTTACGTAGTTTGATTTAAAAATTAAAGAGTGAATATTCATAATTCTGAAATTAAAATTAGTGTTGTTTAGGGATGATGGTGAAAAGGCTTATTAGCAAAGTTAAGCCTTGCTAATCTTAACTCTCTAGTTATGGTCTTTGAAATTTAAGTTTTTTGAAGACTTAAGTTGAGCTTTACGTAATTTGATTTAAAAATTAAAGAGTGAATATTCATAATTCTGAAATTAAAATTAGTGTTGTTTAGGGATGATGGTGAAAAGGCTTATTAGCAAAGTTAAGCCTTGCTAATCTTAACTCTCTAGTTATGGTCTTTGAAATTTAAGTTTTATGAAGACTTCAGAATGGTAACTATTTGCAGATATAATTTTAAAAACTAATTCCAATTACCATCCATAATTAAAAGGCTAGTGTGCAACACCAATAATGATGGAGAGATCAATGAGATTAGATTTTAAAAATTGAAGGTTTTTTTTATATGGAGTTTTGCTACCTAATTTTATTCCAAATTCCAATACAAATGATTGAATGAAAAGTTAAGATATATTAATTATATGTACTTTGGATTTACTTCTAAATGAAATAATTGAAAAGTTTTTTGAGTCTATATATCAAGTGGTTAACTCTTGTTCATAAGTTTAAGCTTTTAGACTAAAAATGAGTTTGATGATTGATTTATCTTGCCTAATTTCCCCCTGATTTTATTCATCCTCTCTATTATGCGGTATCAAAGCTTAAGGTTTGTTTGGGATCTTTGGTTCTTATGATTTAGCTCCCATGGTTTTCGTGTTGATTCTACCTTAGTTGAACAAGATTTAGAAGTTAGGTTTCTTAGTTCCTCCTTGATCTTAAAAGGCTTCTTAGAACATCTTACTTTATTAGCTTCCATTTCAGTCTACTGAGAATGGCCGATGTTGTGTGCTCTTATGTTGTGGGATTGAGAAATTATCAAGACACATGAGATTTTGTGGTTACTTCCAAATCAAATATCTAGAAAAAACATTACAATGCAAAATTACCAAGTGATTCACACTTAATAATTAGCTTAAGCTTTTTGGTTTAAACTGATTTCGATTGTTGGCATATCTCGCCCAACTTAATTTCACTTTGGTTTCTATCCTCCCTAAAATAAAAAAAAAACAACCAAATTTGAGATAATGCTATTTAGATTTGATAGTGATTGATGTTTAAGTGGAGTTATACTTAATAATTATAACTATATTATGGTGTATAAAATTTAATTTCATTTCGATGAATATGGCTAATCACAAAATGCAGGTATAAGTTTAAACACTAAAATATCATCCAAAAGTATAATGCAAATGAGACACTCTTAGTGGAGGATTCTTTTGATATTTTTAATATTATTAGGTTTGACGGTTAAAAGTTTTTATTTAGAGTTAATCCTTCCCTAACACTATCCCTAGTTTAGGATTCATGTGCATAACTCTCATTTTTTTAAGGAATTAGTGTATCATTATAAAATGTCATCGGGTTGATGATCAATAAATAAATAACTAAAGGTTTATTGCAGTTGACCTAGCTTTTCCAAGATTACTAGATTTAACCATATAAGAGGAATTCATATACTTTATTATTAAGAAAACAAAAAAAAGAAAGTCTTTCTTTTCTTAAACCAATCAACCACAAATTTAAAAAATTTTGAATTTAAAAATAACACATTTCTAACTATTTTTATTTTGTTTTAAATGCCTCCCTATTCCTTAACCACCCTCATTTAGAATAATATAACTTTTATCTTATTTCTTAGTGCACTATACTGCTATGTTGTATAACCATTGAGTCCCTCTCACACACACATGCCCTCTTTCCTTAAATTATATTTATCTTTTAAATGCTAAAATTTTTTGGGGAGAATACTGCCATCAAAAGCAACACGTTTTATTTTCTCTATCTCTATGTTGCACTTTCCATATTGCCCCATGTATATAGAAAAAGCCCTTGTTTAAACAAATTTCACACTAAGCTTATTGATCTAAATTTTAGATAATCATATTAAAAATTGTATAACATAACAGCAAGAGTGAGAGAGAGCGAGCGAGAGAGAGGGAGAGAGAGAGAGAGAGAGAGTGAGAGAGATGAAAATGATGATGATGATCTGTAGTTTTAAAATGTAGATGTTAGCAATATAGTAAGCTTAGGGATGATTGGTTATTAGAAACCATTAGATCAATATAAATTCTTCTAGTCAAATAAGAAAATGTTTACATGATGATTTAAACAATAGGTGTTATAAATATTATTAAATTTGTTTAATTTACCAATTGAGCAAGTGACTCTATATTTATATTTTTAAGAACTCTAATTTTTGAAATTAGTGCCTATAAATATTTTGTTGAGCATCTTAATATTATAGAGTTTATTAAAGAACAAAATAAAGTTACTATTAACTACTTTAATTTTTTTAATAGCATTGCTAGAGATCGTTGTCATTAGCAAGTGATTGAAAATTCAATCATATAAGGTAAAAGAGAGAACTATAGAATACATCTAGTAGATGATTTGTAGTTTTGAAACGAAAAGAAGGATAATCAATATTTTTTATTTGATTGATTTTTTTTTGCGGATGTTGAGCATCTTAATGTTTTAGACTTTGGAAGCATCTCTGAGAGTGTTTTATGAATTTCTCATGGCCTCATCAATATTTCTGGGCTTCAATGAACCCCCTTGACAATATCTTGAAAATTTTTGTTAGGTTTGCTCATTTTTCTCATATATTCATCAAATTGCATGATCCATCTTGTCTTAATTACTCTTTCCTGCACTCTCTAAAATTTTCTTTAGTTAATTATAAACATACTATACAATATGTTTCAAGACTTTATAAGCTTCTAATCCACCAACTCCATTGACTCTTGCATTTTCTTCTCCATTAATGTTTGTACTTGTGCATGCAATATTCTAGCCTCTATTGAAAGATTTTAGTTTAAAGCAAATAAAGTTGCCATCTAAGCATTTTGCATGCAAGTCATTTTTATTAAATTATATTAAATTGTATGACTAATTCTACTGATGCATCATATATATACTTTACTTTAAATCATTCTTTAGGTGATTAGTGAAAGTTATATGCCAGATAGATTTTGTATCACTGATCTAAGTTTAGGAAAAATCTATATTGTCTATACAATATTAAC